CACTGGGGCCCAATATCAATGTCATGAAAAACAAGGACAGGCAGAGATAATGGTGGAGAGCAGTCACTAGACCCTCAAGTAGCCAAGGCTGGCCTCAAACGAGTGATTGAATTCCAGGTGACCTTGAACTCCTGAACCTCTCATGCTCCCACCTCCACCTTCCAAGTGCTGCCATGATAGGATCCGTCACCAGGCCTGGCTCCACCCTCACCCCCGTACTACAAAGTGTCTAGCACTGTGATGCCTACCTCTCCAGCTGGCTCTTTCTTTTTTCACTCATTACTTTGAAACAGGGTCTCAGAATATGTGTTAGCTGTGAACTCACTCCATTCCGCAGGCTGGTCTTGAATTCTCCTGCCTCAGCCTCCTGAGTAGCTGGAATTACAGGCTTGGCTCGCTAACTTCTTTCAGTGTCGTATTGCAGATTAAAGGACACCAAACTGGACTACGGAAGCTGTCTCCACCCTGCATCCACCCTCAGCCAGTAATTACCAGAGTTCTATTAAAACACAACTCAGGTCTGCCCTGGTGAACTTCTACAGTTAACAACTGCTGGAGGAAAGGAGACACATTCTCCACTGATGGGGTGCCCACGGCCAGGCCAATGTAACCCTCACCCATGCACAGTCAAGCAACGCCACAGATTTAAAAAATAATTAGGAGGCAGGCAGCTCTGCGTGAGTTTGAGGCCAGCATGGTCTACACAGCCAGTTCCAGACCAGCCAGGGCCGCACTGTGAGACACTGTCTCAAGGGGGAAACAGTCCTGAAATCAGAAAGAGGGCTAGTTGGGAAGAGGAGGGGTCAGGGGGAGTGGGGCAAGAGAGGTTCGCAGGTGAACACAAAATATACGTGTGCACGGAATTATCAAAATCATACAACAAAACATACATTTATAAAACTTAAGACGGTGTGGGTGGCATGTGCCTGTGAACCTGGCACTTGGCAGTAGGAGACAGTTCAGAAGTTTGGAGTCATACTCTAGTGCATGGCAAGTTTGAGGCCAGCCTGGGCTACGTGAGACTCAGTCATAAGAAATCAATAAACTAGCTTGAGGCTGAGGTATAACTCAGTAGTACAGTTCTTACCTAGCTCACACAAGACCGTGTGTTCCCTCCACACTCACTGGTACACACTCACCCCCCCCACACACACACTCACACTCACATTCTGTCCCTCTCAGGGATCAGAGCCTTCTAACAAGCGCTGACCCTCAGTGGTCAGGCCCTGCACGCTCCATCTCTTCCCCATGGCCACTGCTTTCCTCCATCAAATGTGCCAGACGCAACGAGACCCCAAGCCTTCACGCTGAGACGCTCTCCCCTCTCCTCCGGCTGCGATCCACCCAAGCCTTCTTCCAATGATTTGTTGTCTCCCATGGCGGTTACTGCTACCTCACAGTCTCCATGTTTCAGTTTTGGTTTTTGAGACAGGGCTTTATGTTCCAGCCTAGGCCGGCTGGAATTCACTGTGTAGCCCAAGTTGGCCTCACACTCATGGTACTTCCCCTGCCTTAGCCTCCCAAGTGCTGAATTATAGGTATGTGTACCCATGGCTAGACTTCCCATTTAAGGTCCTGACGCTGGTGGTTACCTGGCTTCCCCCACAGGAATGGAGGATCCCCAGAGATCCAGATTTCTTTTCTTTCTTTGTTTTCCGAGACAGAGTTTCTCTGTGTTGCCCTGGCTGGCCTTGAGCTCACAGAGATCCACCTGCCTCTGCGTCCTGAGTGCTGGGATTCGAGGTGTGCACCAGCACTGCGCAGCTGAGACCTGGATTTCTCTGTCTCCATACTCCCAGTAATGCAGCACTGCATGCAGTGTGGATGCACAGAAGGCGTACGGGAAGTGCGAGAATAGACACACAGCACAGTACCTGCTGAGGATTCAGTGCGGGAAGGGCTGGAGAATATGCCCCAGAATATAGTAACGGCTACTGTTTCATAGTATCCCCTGTACAGAACTGGAAACGGAGGCCCAGAGGGATTAAGTGATCTGCCCAAAGTTAGCAGCTTAAGGGGTGGGACCAAGCTGTTCTCTAAACTACAAAGCTAAGACCAGTCCAGTGCTGCGAAGAGAAGCAGGAAGCAGAGCAAGCCCTGGAGTCCAGAGTCCACATCTAGCCTCTGGCACATGCCTCCATGGTGATGGGAGTATGACCACGGATCATGACTGAAGCAAATCATTCCTGCCCCGAGGCCTCACTTTTTTCTTCTGTAAACTTTAAGCATGACCCCAGTTTGTGTCTTGGGAATCTTGGAAGTCACAATGTGAGGATAGCTCCTAACATGCAATGATTCTCCTGCCTCTACCTCCCAAGAGCTGAGATTACAAGCATATGATACCAGCTGTTTTTTCTGTTGTTCTTGGTGGTGGTAGTTGTAAGACAAGGTCTCATGCTGCCCAGGCTGAACTCACCAGGGTATCTGAAGCTGGTCCTGACCTCCTGTGCCCACTGCCTCAACCTCCCAAATACTGGGATATGAGTTTGCACCACCATGCCTGGCTTCAAAACCCTACACTTCTTCCATTGTAAGATCTGCAGCCCAGGCAGAAACTTCAAACACCAAAAGGACCAAGAACTTCCAAATACACAGGGGGAGTAAAAAAAAAGGCTTCCCTTAATTATCTGGCCTTTGTATGTGTTCCTTCCCTTGGAGCCAACGCTGTCCCTGTCCCTCAGTGGTCTGGTGAGATTCTCCTCACTCCTAAGATCCCACCCACCTGCCAGGGAGTACTCTCTGTACTCTGTACCAGGTCAGGTGTCTAGTGGGCTCTGCCATCCCTTCTAGATTGTCACAGCATGGGTCCTCGGTTGACGGACAGGTACTGGCATAGACCCTATTATTTCATAAGCAGGGTCAGCTCAGGCTTCGCACAAAACAGACGCTCATCATCTATAAGCTACACGGGGGGATGGTAGTTCCCTACTCAGCGAGTTACAAAGCCGGTCTCCACAGAGACAGATCAGCCTTTTCCAGGACCTTATATTTGGTGCGTCTGCGATGCCAGTGAGGTCTCTGCTCAGGAGGCTCCCTTGGCTCACCCGGTTGCTCTGAACTCCAGACTTCCCAGGGTCCCTGACGGTTCTGAGATAACGCTGCCATATTAGGACCGTATCTGCCAGTGCCTAGCCAAGAGGCCTGCACGGTGCGGCTACCGAACAAATGCATGGGTATGAGGAAACTCATAATCACACGGCTGGATGTCCATTCTGGGTTCGTCCTTTTGCCAGGTCGCAGGACTCCGCAGGACCCCAGATTCCACCACCATCACCATCACGCCCCTTACTCAGGCCCAGAGGAAAGCTAAGCCGTAAGCACCATGCTCTAAACCCAGGATGATATGCAAGCACCCACAGGGTGGCAGGGAAACTGAGGAACAGGATGTAGTTTACAGAGTAAAGTCTCTCTAAAGGATGGCTAGGCAAGGGATCTTAGTGGGATTCTTATCAGTCCCGCCCCTAACTACTGACAGGTAAGCCCCACCCTAATAGCTTTCATGCCTCATCCTATTGGCTCTCGTAGACGTCAACCGCCACAAGCCCTCTTCCCTATTGGCTTGCATTCCAAACTCGCGCGGTGACGCCCCTGACCGCACGCCCTTCCTCGCTATTGGAGAGGTAACACGCCCCTCTAGCAGAAGCCATCCCCATTGGTTGTAGGGTTTTGCCGGTTCGCGCCGGGATTGGTCAGGCCCAGAAAGCCCCTCCCCCGAGCAACCACCTGAGAGGGGTCGAGAATGGAAGGGCTAGGGACCGCGGGGGTGGGACTCACGCTGGGCTGGGGGCAGGCAGATGTAGGTCTTGAAGAACTCGCTGCGGCGGGCGGCCTCCTTGATGCGGTTGGCCAGCGGCTTGCTGACCTGCCGGATGCCCAGGTAGAGCAGCTTCGCCATGGGGAACGCGCCCACCACCATCTTGGCGGTCGCCCTGGGCACGCGCAACCTTGCCGACTGGGCGGGGCGCCGCTGACCTCGCCGTTCCTCTCCCGCCCGCCGGTGGGCCGTGCGTGCCTACGTAAGGAGGGGCTTGCCTTCGTACCTACGTACGAGCGCGCGTGGGCACGCTGGCGGCGGGGGTGGGGTTGGGGGGTGGTGGTGGTGCAAGAAAGGGTGTTTCTCTGCAGGGGCGCCCTGTGACGTCACCGCGTCGACGCCTCGACGTCCGTTCGTTGAATATGCAAATGCACAGCGGAAGTGCGGCGTCAGAGGGCGGTGCCGTTAAACGGCCGCTCGTGGGAGCCTGGCCGGAGTCCTAGTCCCGACGTGCTGACGTCACCACGCTCTTGCGTGGTGTCACGTACGGAATCGGCTTCCCTGCCCATAGGAGGCGCCTCGTAAGTCCCAGTGAAGCGTGGTGAGTCCCGGGTACACCTTCCTCCGCGGGCTGGAGCGCTCACCGGGGAGTGAGGAGAGTCACCGCGTAGTCACGCAGACCTTACCGCTTTACTCACTCTCTGAAGTTGGAGGAGTGACTCAACCCCTCAGGAAATCAGTTCTGTTTTTTTTTTTTAATTATTTTTTTTTCTATTTTTTGAAAAGCTGGGTCTCAGGGGCTGGAGAGATGGCTCAGTGCTTAAGAGCACTGACTGCTCCTCCAGAGGGCCTGGGTTCAATTCCCAGCACCCACGTGGCAGTGCACGCCTGTCTGTGACTCCTGTTCCAGGGCTTCTGACACCCTCACGCAGACATACATGCAGGCAAAACACCAATGAAAATAAAATAAATTATTTTTAAAAATTATAAAAAAAAAAAAAGAAGAAGAAGAAGGGGCTGGAGAGATGGCTCAGAGGTTAAGAGCACCGACTGCTCTTCCAGAGGTCCTGAGTTCAATTCCCAGCAACCACATGGTGGCTCTCAACCATCTGTAATGAGATCTGGCGCCCTCTTCTGTATACATAATAAATAAATAAATCTTTAAAAAAAAAAAAGAAAGAAAACCCTTTTATTAAAAAAGAAGAAGAAGCTACGTCTCAGATAGCCCAGAAGAAAGAAGAAGAAGAAGAAGAAGAAGAAGAAGAAGAAGAAGAAGAAGAAGAAGAAGAAGAAGCAGCTACGTCTCAGATAGCCCAGCCTGGCTCTGAACTCACTGTGTAGCCAGGCTGGCCATGGAGCTCCTAGATCCTTCTTTGTCTTGCCTCTGAATTTTTTTCTTTTCCGCGATTGCGGATGGACCCCAAGACATTTCCCATGCTAGGCCGCTTGCTCCAACACTGAGCAGGACTCCAGATCCTCACTGGGGGATTCTAGGCAAGGACTGCTGAGCCATACCTCAAACCTGTCACCGGGTGGTTCTGGGCAAGGTGAGTTGTATCCCCAGCTTTCTGCGTGAATCCCGAGTGTGAAGCACAGGAAGCGACGCATGTGGAGATGTTGGAATAGTGCAAAGCCCACAGAAGCAGCCCTCACTACCATGTGTGTTTTAGTAGTATTCTCTAATTCCAGCCTAAATGTGCTCTATAGCTAATCCATCCTTTTCCCAAGTAACCGGAAAGACCGGGGCCGTAAGGATGGGTGACACACGGCCTGCAGTATTGGCTGATACCATTGGTTCTCAAGCAGCCCCACTTCCTCCCGTGGAGGGTAGGCATCCCCAGGGAGTTGGCTCAGGAAGGAACTTTAAGGACATGTCCCAGACTGTCCTCCCTTACCCAGCAGGGAGCAAAATCATATAAACAAAGTCAGGACTGAGTTGAGAGAAATTCCTGGATGGTGGCGTGAGGATGGGTCATTGGGGACAAGGAGGGGCAGGAAGGCATAGGAGCAGAAGAGTGGTGGCTAGCAAGAGGGCAGCACTGGGGACACATAGCCGGGGGACCCTGGATCGCTCCCTGAGTGCCTTTGGTCAACTTCCCACACCAGGGGACCAGCACTTTATATCGATGGCGGCTGAGCCTGGTGTCACCCACTGTCATTGAAACACTCAGGAGGCTGAAGCAGGAGGATGGAATGTTCTAGGTCAGCCTGGACTGCATAATTAATTCAGGGTCAGGCTGGGCAACTCAGTGAGCCCTGACTCAAAATAAAATGTACAAAAATAAAATAAGATCTACGTCAAAGGGGCTAGGGTGTAGCTGGATTCAGTAAAGTACTCGTCTAGCTTTTGCAAGACCCTGCGTTTGATGCCCACTACTGGACAGAAAGGGTGTATTTGTCAGGGTTCTCTAGAGTCAGAGAACTTATGGAATGAATATATATATATATATATATATATATATATATTCATATATATATGTGAATTTATTGGAATGAACTACAGGCTGCAGTCCAGCAATGGCTAGTATGGATGGAAAGTCCGAGAATCTAGTAGCTGCCCAGTCCCACAAGGCAGGGTGTCTCAGCTGGTCTGCTGGGATCCTGAAGAGGGAACAGTTGTGCTGATGAGGCAAGGGCAAACCCTTCTTCCGTTGTCCTTATATAGGCTTCCAGTGGAAGGTGTGGCCCAGGTAAAGGTCTCGATTGAAGGCCTGTGTCTTCCAGCCTCAAGGTCTGGCTGGATCAAAGGCATGTTGTCTGCTTGCCTCAAAATCCGAATCACAAGTGTGCCCTCCATTTCTGGATTCTAGTTCATTCCAGTTATAGTCAAGTTGACAACTGAGAATAGCCAAGACAAGAGGAGACCATGTATGACCCCAATGTCTAAATGATGAATATCCAGAAGCTTGAAAAACGACTCTTCAGGATCCCTTCTGAAAGCGTGCAGTTGGATGAGGCCCACCATCTGCTTTGGACAGCATCTTCCCATTTATTTTCCTTTTGAATTGTGTGCTTGTGTGTGCCTGTGTGGGTACGTGAGTACAGTGCCCATGGAGGACAGAAGAGGGCATTGGAGCCCCTGGAGCTGGAACTAGAGGTGTGTGTGTGAGCCACCTGATGTGGCGCTGGGAATGGAATTGGGGTCCTCTGGGAGAGCAGTACGTTAACCACTGAGCCGTCTCTCCAGAGCCCACTCTTCCCATTCTACAGACTGCCAACTGAGGCCCAAGCTTCCACGGGTAATCAGGTTGATGACACTGGGGTTTCTTTTTTTCTTTTTAGATTTATTTATTTATCATGTATACAGTATTCTGCCTGCATGTGTCCTTGCAGGCCAGAAGAGGGCACCAGATCTCATTACAGATGGTTGTGAGCCACCATGTGGTTGCTGGGAATTGAACTCAGGACCTCTGGAAGAGCAGTCGGTGCTCTTAACCACTGAGCCATCTCTCTAGCCCCCTGGGGTTTCTTGAGTCCCAGCCCAGGGTCATCTTTTTGTTTCATTTTTTTGTCTTTTGAGACAGAGTTTCTCTTGGCTGTCCTGGAACTCACTCTGTAGAACACCTGGGGAGTTCTGGGAATACAGGTCTGCACCCCCATGCAGAGATACCTCCATCTCCTGCCCAGACTGGGGCTTTCTGAGGCCCATCACTCTCCACTCCTCCTCACTAAGTCCATTTGTATCCTCCTTTCCCTCTTCAAGCCTCCCCTTCTGTTCTCTGAAGGGCTCTATGGGACTTCTGGGATGAGGATGTGCGCGCGCGTGTGTGCGTGTGTGCATGTGCGTGTGTGTGTATGTGTGTGTGCGTTGTGTGTGTGTGTGTGTGTGTGTGTGTGTGTGTGTGTGTGTGTGTGTGTGTGTGTCTGTGATGTGTCTGTGTGTATGATCTTCCCATCTCAGGGGCCTGTTTATGCATCATGGGGAGAGACGTCTCCTGGGGGCGGGGCATGCTGGTCAGAGCTGGGCACTTCCTCTCCCCCTCCTGATTGGTGAAGGAACCGTCACAGCCATCTGGATGACCCATTAAGCTACAAAGAGGAAGGAACACCATAAGCTAAGTCAGACAGCCCTGGCCACCCTGGGGCGTGGGAATAGACACAGATATGGGAGGAACAGGGAGCCCAGGGTGGCCCCAGCACTGACTCACCGTAAGACCTTCCACCCTTTGCCCTGCCTGCAGCCTCTTGAGTGACTGTCCCGGTCTGGTTCCCAGAGGCCCTTTCCGCCCAGGCCCTTTGGGCACCCTTTTCCCAGAATGGGCCAGGGGCTCAAGTTACACAATCCTTCAGGCCCTTGAGTTTCTTCCACAAAGTCCTCCTTCAAAATAAATCCTAAAAACTGGTCCGTCTCAGTGGCGTGGTGGTGCACACTTTTAATCCCAGCACGAAGAAGAAGAGGGATCTCTCTGAGTTCTAGGCCAATCTGTTCTACATAGCAAGTTCCAGGTCAGCCAGAGTTACACAGTGAGATTTGTCTAAAAAAAAAAAAAAAAAACAACAACAAACAACAACAACAATTGAAAAAACAACAAAAAACCCCAACCTGGTCCTGGTGGTGAAGACCCATAATCCCAGCTATTCAAGAAACTGAGGCAGGAGGATCACATGTTCAAGGCCTGGATGGACTACAGAGGGAGTTCAGAACTGGCCTGGGCTCAGCTAGAAAACACTTGATGCGAGAGGACCTAGTCCCAAAATAAATAAAGGGGGCAGGGGGGAGGAGGGGCCGGCAAGATGGCTGAGCAGGTAAAGGCTGTTATCCAAGCATGGCAACCTGAGTTTGTTTGCCTGGGTCCCACATGGCGGAAGGAGAGAACCGACTCATAAGTTGTCCACAAGAGTGATGTGGCAGAACCCCCACTCCACATAAGTAAATAAATGTAATTAAAGTTGTTGTCTTGCTGTGTTCACTTTTTACTTGTTAATACTAAACCACTCAAGAGCAGGCTCTGGTGGTCACAGGCCAGGCATGGTCTCTGAGGCATAAAGGAGTGGGTGGATGGACAGACAGAGGGTGGGTGGGTGGATGCTCTTCTTGTCCTGAGCCTCCTCCTAAGCCAGTCCTGCTTACTGCTCCAGGCAGTCTGCCGGGATTGGCCCTCATCTGCTTCTGACATTCCTCATCCTCCTGCACCATCCCAGACTGAGAGGATGCTGTTTGTGTAGAATCTCAGAAACTCTGCTGCACAACAATTCACTCCTGTAAGCCTAGCACTTAGGAAGCTGAGGAAGGAGGACCATGAACTCAAAGCCAGACTATGATTAAATAACCATACTCTTTTTTTCCAAAACACAAAGAATTACTATCACCAGCATGAATTCTAGGCAAGGGCTCTACCACTGAGCCACACCCCAGCCCCCTCACTAGGGGATTCTAGGCAGGGGCTCTACCACTGAGCCACACCCCAGCCCCTCACTGGGGGATTTAGGCAGGGGCTCCACCACTGAGCCACACCCCAGCCCCCTCACTGGGGGATTCTAGACAGGGCTCTACCACTGAGCCACACCCCCAGCTCCTCACTGGGAGATTCTAGGCAGAGGCTCTACCACTGAGCCACACCCCCAGCCCCTCACTGGGGGATTCTAGGTAGGGGCTCTACCACTGTGTCACAGTCCCGCCCCTCACTGGGGGATTCTAGGCAGGGGCTCTACCACTGAGCCACACCCCCAAGCCCCTCACTAGGGGATTCTAGGCAAGGGCTCTACCACTGAGCCACACCCCCAGCCCCTGGCCAGGGATTCTAGCTAGACACTTACTGCTGGACTACATTCCCAGGCTTTGTTGCGCTTAGTATTTTGAGACAGGGTCTCACTTTGTGGTCCAAGTAGGTCTTGAACTTCCAAATCCTCCTTCCTCGACCTCCCAAGTCGCTGGGATTATAAACCTGTGCCATTAGACCAAGCTCTTCTGTCTTTATCTGTTAGAAACAGTTAATTATCACCTCGTCCTGAACTCTCCAAGGCTGACTTCCCTCCTGGGAGCCCATTGATGACAGACTCCCCCCACCAGGCCCTGCCAGTTAAAGGGAATCATTGGGGATCATGGTGGGAGATGTCTGAGAAAGAGACAAAAACCTCATTTTTTTTTCTTGTATTACGAATATTCACAGGGCCGTATTTACAGACATTTGCACACAGCAGAGAGGGGCAAGGCGTGAGAATCGGGGATGAGGCTCACTGTGCTGGCGGCAGCAGCACCTTCAGCGGCACCTGGTCCCCTTGGGCGGTGGGAGGCACTGCCCAGACAGCCCCGGAGGCCTTGCTGGTGGTGCTTCTCTTGGAGGTCAAGGGTGTCTCCAGGGTGAGGGAAGCGTTGGCCATCTCCTGGGGCTTGTCGCTGGCCAGGAAGCGCAGGAGGTTGTGCAGAGCCTTGGCCACGTCACTGCGGGCTCCCTCGTTGACCAGGCAGTAGAGGATGGGGTCGGCCACGCAGTTGAGGCTGGTGAACGCCAGGGAGCTGTGGTAGGCGGAGAAGACTCGCTCCTCGAAGCCGCAGTCCCAGGGCCGGCCCAGATAGACGGCGCTCCGAGACAGCAGGAGGGCATGGTAGGGTGCAAAGCACACCAACACTATGGCGATGAGGCTCAGGGCCAGACGCTTGATCTTGACCTTCTCCTGGCGCTCCGTGGACACACTGCTCTGCACGGCCCGCAGGATGCCGCGGTAGCACAGCAGCATGAGTGCCCAGGGGAAGAGGAAGCCCACGAAGACGCGGTACAGATTCATCCAGGCCACCCAGCTCTCCATGGGGAACTTCTCGAAGCAGAAGGTGTGGTTGTAGCGGTCTCGAAAGAGCTCGTCGTGGAAGAGCGGGGCCGAGTTGGCGCCCAGCTCGGTGGCCCAGACCACAGAGCTCACAGCCACCGCGGTCTTGACCCGGCGCAGGCGCGCGAAGCGCAGCGGATGGGCCACGGCCAGGTAGCGGTCCACGGAGATGCAGCACAGGAAGGCGATGCTGATGTAGATGTTGCTGTAGAAGATGAAGCCGAAGAGCTTGCAGGAGCCGGGGCCGTGGATCCAGTTGTCGTGGTGGAGGAAGTAGTCGACCCACAGCGGCAGCGTGCAGATGTACAGCAGGTCGGCGATGCTCAGGTTCATCAGGTAGACGCCCAGCTCATTGCGCTGGCGCACCTGGCGGTAGGCCGCCCACAAGGCCAGGCAGTTGGTGGGCAGTCCCACCCCGATGACGAAGATGTAGAGGGATGGCGGGAAGAGGTGGTCCACTCGAGAGTCCACGTGGCAGCCCTCCCACGTGCGGTTGCCCATCCTGGGCGCTGGGGCTTCCTGGGCTCTTCCCCTGGCCCGCTGGGGCTACAGGGCCACGGGGGGCGGGAGGCCATCGGGCCCCCCGAGCCCCCTCTTTGGAGGCTCAGGGGGACATCATAGGAGGTGGTTCACGAGGACAGCGGCCCGGGTTTGCTTTGTGGCAGGCCAAGCCAAAGGAGAACTTGAGAGGAAGAGCGTCAAGGAAGGATGGAGGTAGGATAAGAGGTGGGACTAACGTCAATAGGAGCGTCTGAGCAAGCAATCAGAACAGGAATATCTGATATTCCTATAAAGATGGGGGCACAGGGGAAAAAAAAACAGATGAAGGCAGTGTTTATGGAGGAGATGAAGACACCAAAGGTGTCATGCTTATTGAGGTCTTAGGGAGTAAGCATGGACACGATGACGGACCAACGGGACGGAATTGTCTCGGAAGACTCAAGAAATAACCCAGGAGAGCATTGAGTTGGGAAGATGCGACTTGGGAGTGCTGGCACCTGCTGGGACCCCAGCAGGAAATATCGAACTGTGTAAAGTCATCAAAATGTCCTCTGGGGCTGGACAAAGAGGAAGGGCTTGCTGGGGCTGGGGACTGTGGGAAGGGATGCTAGGAAAGGGAAGGTGAGTAAGCGGTGGAGCACAGGAGGATTGTGGGTAGAAGGAGAACTCTGAAGCGGGCACCGGGAAACTCAGAGTTGATCCTGGTGGGGCCCAAGGGGTGGACTACACTGAGAGCCGAGCTGGATAGGTCTGTGGGGAGAGAAAACGGGCGTGAGGCAGGCGTGGGCATCTATCCTGGCCTCCCCCATACCTTCCCATTGTTCCCGCGGATAGAAAGGGAACACCCCGGCAAAAACCGCTTGTGTACCACCTTAAGGAACAGATTCCTAAGAGCACGTTATGGAGGGGGTTGGACAACAGGGGGGCTTCCCAAATACATATTAAAGACCCAACATGCTGAGCATGTTGGCACATGCCTTGGATCCCGGAAGTCAGAGGGTAGAGGGAGGAGGAGGATCAGGAGTTCAAAGTGATCCTCCGCTACACGCTGAGTTTGAAGCCACGAAAATCTGCCTCAGATTAGCAGTGGAGAGTGAGGTGAGTGGAGACGGCACGATGGGTAAGGGAGCTTGCTGCCAAGCCTTGCGACCCGCGTTTGATTCCAGGAACTCACACTGTGGAAGAAAAGAACCAATTCTTCAGGTTGTCTTCCGACGCCCACGTGTATAGCATAGCATGCAGATACAGGGTGGGGGTTGGAGAGAGGGAGGGAAGGACGGATGGAGGGAGGGACGGAGAGATGGAGGGAGAGAGACAGAGACAGAGACAGAGAGATTTGACAGACTGAAGCAAGATGGACTTCCCAGACCTGTCCAAGGTCCTGATGCCCCAAGGTGGGACTCCCAGCCCTTTTCCCAGCCTTGCCTTTATCTAGAGCCCCCTGGATACAGAAGGACACTGGGGCTGACAGTGGGACGGAGCAGGGGCTGTTAGACTCTGGAAAGGTTGGGGAGCCGGGGGAAGCCTGGGGTTGACGTTAGCAGGGGCACAGCCCTCACACCCTCTCCCTCTCCTTTCCCATTGTCCCAGTGAGGACCTGGGATCCATCACCTTCCTTTTTTTTTTTTTTTTTTTTTCTTCTGGGAAGATCAACAAGTTTAGAGCAGAGAACATTCACCCACCAAGCCCCTGATGATTGCAGGGTCTGCACATATTTAGTTTTCTCAGTCTCTCTCTCTCTCTCCCCCACCCCCGAGTCTCTTGTAGTACAGGTTGGCCTTGAACTTGCTATGTATCGGGGATGACCTTCAACTCCTTGATCCTCCAGCCTCCTCCTCCTGGGTATTAGAACCACAGTCGTTTCCAGTTTACACAGAGCTGGGATTGCTGTCCTGGGCCTCATGAATTCTAGGCAGGCACTACACCAACTCACCTACATCCTCTACCCATTTGTTGGCTGGCTTGTTGGACTGTTTGAAACTGGGTCTTACTGTACAGCCCAGGCCAGCCTGGAACTTTCGAGCATCCTTGCTTCTGCCTCCTGAGTGCTGGGACTATAGGCGAGCACCACCAGGTCGAGCTTTAAAGCATTTTTAAATTCAGGAGGCAGAGGCAGGCAGATCTCTGAGTTTGAGGTTAGCCTGGTTACAGAGTGAGTTCCAGGACACCCAGGGCTACACAGAGAAAGAAAACCATACAAACAAGATCATACTTGGAAATCCACTCTAAGTCGGTGAAAGGAGCAAGTGCCATGTGGTCTGGGAGGAAAGATGTGGAGACTGGAAAGCCACCTCTGAAAAATTCCCAGGACACACTTGGAAACCAGTGTTTGAGGGGCCAGTGAGATGGCTTATGTCAGTAAAGGTGCTTGCGGCCAAGCCTGGCAACCTGATTATTTATCCCCAATACCCACATGGAGAAAGGAGAGAACTGACTTCCAGAAGTTGTCCTCCATACATGCTCTGTGGCACATAACACCTGCCACCCAGCCACAAAAGAGAGAAGGGAGGGGAGAACAGAGAGACAGACAGACAGACAGAGTCTTTCTTTGTCCCAAGGAAAGTCCTTCCAGATGGACCCTGAATTCATGCCTGGGTCTCTAACTCCTTGCTGGCTCTATGCTGCCCTCACTCACTGCTCACTGGGACATCATCTGTCCTGACCCTCCGCCTCCCTCAGTTCACTCCCAGGAAGACCTTGCGAAAGGAATCAGCTCTTCTTTTCTTAAGAACTTCCAAAGGCTTTCAAAGGGCTGGGGCGTGGCTCAGTGGTAGAGCCCCTGCCTAGATTCCCCCAGTGAGGGGCTGGAGGTGTGGCTCAGTGGTAGAGCCCCTGCCTAGATTCCCCCAGTGAGGGGCTGGGGGTGTGACTCAGTGGTAGAGCCCCTGCCTAGAATCCCCCAGTGAGGGGCTGGGGTGTGGCTCAGTGGTAGAGCCCCTGCCTAGAATCCCCCAGTGAGGGCTTGGGGGCGTGGCTCAGTGTGACTCCTCGTTCATTCCTTCCCCTCAGTGGACTACAGTTTCCTCATCTGTCCAGTAGACTTAATGAGTTTTTCTGTCTCTGTCTCTGTCTCTCTCCCAAGTGTGGCTCAGTTGTAGCGCATTTGATTAGTATGTGCGAGGTCCTAGGTTCTACCTGCAATATTGCAAGAAAACAAACAGACTCGAGGGAAAGTGGAAACTCCTGGTGCTTGGTGACAGGTAATGAAGCTCTTCCCAGCTAGCCTGAGCTGCCTTACCTACGCCATCTCCCTCCATCGATCTCCGGGCCAATGAGCTTCCTCCCTGCAGTGCTGATACCTCCACACTCTCGCCAACTGGCCTATGCCTTCTTCAGCTCCTCTGCCTATGGCCCTCCCTTCGTCCTCCTCCATAAATCTCTGCCGCCAAGTCTCTACCACCCTCACAAACATCTCTTCGCAGCACTTGTGTCTGGTTCGCTTACGTCTGTCTAGAACTTCTTGGGGGACAGGGACCCATAGTGTCGTGTGGACTGTGTGAAGGACTGGCCTTGCATACAGTAGTGCTCAATAAGTGCCCGGGTACAGAAGTCATGCTAGAAGCCTCTAGGGGGTTGGAGAGGGCACAACGCCCTGGCCAGCCCTTCTCCCGTCATGGCTCTGCCTCTCTTCCTCCCAGACTGTACCCCAGGCATCAACAAGCCCTGGGGAGACCCGGAGGAAGAGGCTGTCTGCTGGAAGGAGATTAAAGGGTAGGACCCATCTGCTCCCTAATTGACTTGGAAAGGTCAGGCCGTGTCCTGATCCCCAAGGCCAGCCCCCTGTGGGGATCCTTAGACACCTACCATCCCATCCCAGAACTGGAAACTACTGGGTCCCTTGGAGATGGGATGGAAGGGACTTGTTTCTGGATAGACCAATGGGAGCCAGCACAACCTACCATCAATCAAAACTTCCCACCTAGGCCAAGTCTTATCCCTAAACCTCTCCTATCCTCTGTCTCCTCTGTCCCCTTTCTGTTCTCTCTCTCTCTCTCTCTCTCTCTCTCTCTCTCTCTCTCTCTCTCTCCATTTCTCTTCACTCCTACATCTTGTGACATCAAGGGAACTCTTTTCCCCCAGAAGCCCTAATTTATGCAAAAGACGGTACAGTCTTTATCCTAATCACATCACACATGGACATGTTTGAAAAAACAAGGTATCATCAGTAAAATGTGCGGTATTTGGGGTCTGGGGATGTAGCTTAATGATAGAATACTTACCCAGAGTCTAACAGTGGGTGCCAGGGGCTGTGGCTCAACAGTAGAGCACTTCTCTAGTGTGCATGAGGTCCTGAGTTCAATCCCCATGACCACCAAAAAGAAAGAGGTCTAGGCATATAGCTCAGCTGATGAAGTATTCACTCAGCATGCATAGAGCCCTGGATTGATCCCCAGCACTCCATAAATGAGTCTGTTGGCCCAGCCTGGAGCCCCAACAGATCAGCCTGGGATGAATGAGCCCTGTCTCAAAGTGTAAAGAGAAAGGAAGCGATGGACCGGGGATGGGACGCGGTGTGGAAAGGGACTGCTGCATAAGGGGAGCACCTGCATTCAGATTCTCAGCACCCACTCGGAAGCCCTAGAGGGAGAGGTGGATGTCCTCTGAACCCCCCTTCCTTGGCCCCAGGTCCCTGCTGAGACTGGAACGGGTACACAAGGCAGCAAAGACATTCCTGGCAGCCGACGGAAATGAACTTCCCATTGCCAATTTCCTCCCAGGGAACAGAGTCTGGTTTCCACCCTGTCCTCAGCCTACCTGAGTCATAGGGATGCTAGGCATGGGGCAGGGAGTCACTGACAGACCGACAGACAGACCTTCCTTCTTCTCTGCCTGACATCTGGCCACTGTAACTCCCCCGCTCCCAAGTCACCATAGAACCTCTGATTCTTAGAATTCCATGGTACAGGCTCATATGGTGAGCGGGAACAGGATGCTCTTTCTTCCTGATGCACATGCAGAACCTGAGGTCCAGAGTGTGAGGCTGTTTTTCCTTTGAGCTAAAAAGTGCCTCCTCTGAATATTTCTTTCCTCTCGTTCCCATTCTCCTGTCTTTTTAGGGGCTTCAGATCCCTTTGAGAATTTGTCAAAAATGGGGGTTTGGGTTTTTTTTGTTATGTATTTAATTTAATTTAATTTAATTTTTGAGACAATGTGTTTCTCTGTGTAGCCTTGGTTGTCCTGGAACTCACTCTGTAGACCAGGCTGGCCTCAAACTCAGAGATCTGCCTGCCTCTGCCTCCCGAGTGCTAGGATTAAAGGACTGTGCTACCATACCCCATTAATAAGGACGTTTTTTAAAAACATACACACAAAAGTGACCCTGGAGGCTGAGGAGATGGCTAGTAGGTAAGACCATTCATTGTGAAAGCAAGAGGATTTGAGTTCAAATTCACAGCATTCACTAAAAGCCAAGAATGCCCTGTGTGCCTGTGGCCCCAGCATTGAATAGTGGCAGGTGGTCCCAGGAGCTGGCTGGCTGGGCAGTCCAGTTGAAACAGTGAGCATCAGGTTCAGATCTGGGGCGGGGGGGGAGAGAAGACACCAATGTCCTCCTCTGGACTCCAAATTAGAATTCACCTTGCACACACATGGGCACACACACACACACACACACACACACACACACACACACTGACCCACCGTGGCTAGAGTGTCCCTCCATCCCTTGCCCAGCCCCAAATGGAATCAATGTTATCTTAACCCTTAGTGAGTCTTTGTTGGGGAGCTGTGCACCCAAATTTTACAGCCCCCCCAACTCAAGTTCCTGCAAGAAAGGTAAGCTCAGTTGTGACCCAATATGTGTGGGGGATAGGAAAGGCTACCTTGAATCCCAAGCCTCTGTAGGCCTCAGCTACAAAAGCCAGAAAAAAAAATCCCCTGTCTCACAGCCCCCCCCCCCCGCACCGGCCCCCCTGCAAGATTCAAAGACATGGAGAGCTGAAAAGCCAAGAGAAAGAAGTGATAGCCCCCCCCATCATCAACCTTAGCCCACTCACCACCTTTGTCTCCGAAGCCACTGGGCTGGCTCCCCCTCTTTCCCTCCACCATGGGCTCCCAATCTCCCCCATTCTGGAGGCCCCAGGGGACCAACCAGTTCCAGTCTGCTCATTATGGCTGAAATGTGATCAGTGCGTCTCGCTGCCCACCTGGTGCCTTGGCAGCAAGCGGAAATGATGAGGGGGGTGCAGTCAGGCCACTCCATGTCCTGGCTGGGCCTCAGTTTCCCCATTTCCATTGAGGAGCGTATCTCTCCCACCCCTGCCCCGGCTGCTACACCCACACCACCCAGCAGGAATATGGAATTGTTAGAACCACCCTGCTGACATTCTAGAATCCGACAGTTCTCAAGTCCCGAGGTTTCTGTGGCCGGCCCCGCTTGGGGCCGAATGTTCTAACATTCTAGAGCCTTGATTCTTTGCTTTCTGTTATTATTACCCTCGCCTCTGCCAGCACGCACCCTTGTCAGTTTCCAATATTCCAGGCGTCTCCCGGCCCAAGATTCTGAAGTTCTATTGTTAGAACCCTCTATGATTTCAAAAAAAAAAATAAAAAAATAAAAAAAAATAAAACACACGCTATGACTTTCATAATCTATTATTAAACTCTGGGTGATTTTTATCTTTTCCCAGCAAATGAATACACGTTTCCCTTTTCGCTCTTTGCAGAAATGGGAACGCGTTGTAAATAGGTGAACCCCACTTCCTCTTTTCTCCTTGTTTCTGCTCTGACTTTAAAAAAAAATCAATTCTCAGGTTGGGCAGCATTCTGTGGTGCTGAAGGTCCACAGAGGCTGGGGGGTGGGGGGGTCAGGATGGCTGACCATCACCTTCAACCGGCTCCCGAAAATGACATGCTCCCCCCCTCGGAAAGGGACTCTAGGAACCCACGCTGCTTCTGACCCCTTGCTCACGGTCTGGCCTCCCTTTTCGCACCAGCTGAGTTATTATTTGTCTAGACACAAACCAAATTATAGGCCCTGTCCCGGGGGAACAGTGGGCTTGGGGGGGGGGGTCAGGAGACAGGGGTGGAGTTAATCCACTCGGTTTGTCTCTTTCCTTCTGAAACTCCTCCCCCTAGCCCCCCAGCCCAGCCCACCTCAGGTCCCTTTCCCTTCCACGAGCAAGCCCTGAGAGATACCTTTTCTGCTCCACTCCGCAAACCCTACTTTCTGGCCTCCAGCCACGCATACCCAAGTCTGGCATCACTCCCTACTCACTTAGCGGAGGACCTCGCTGCCCGAATTAATCCGACTTAGTGGTAGCCCAAGAATCCAGGTCTCCAGATAAGGTCAAGGGAACCCAGGTCTCTGGATATGGGCTACCACTGGACAAGAGTCCCAATCCTCGATGCTGGCAATAACTCACTTCTACCCTGGGGCCTCAGTTTCCCTGCTTGTAAAATGGAAGGGGCATGGCCTACATGGCTCCCACCGGTCCTTTGTAGCACACACACAAACAAGCAACATGTCAGCACCAATCTGCATGGGTTGATGGGCTGGATCATCACAAGGGACTTTGGTTCCCTGTGCCTCAAAGGGTCTCGGCATGCCGGCTCTCACCATTCAAAGACTGGAAGGCAGGGGTTCATTCGGCCCAGACTGGCCTCAGACCAAGATCCTCCCACCCCAGCCTGGGTTACAGGCATGTGCCACTACAAGATTTTTTTTTTTTTGGAGACAGGGTGTCATGTAGCCCAGGCTAGCCTGAAACTATTAATCTTCCTATCTTTACCTTCCAAGTGCTAGGATAACTGGCAGGTGCCACAGTCTCGGCTATAGGGCTCCTGGGTGGTCTGAGTTTGGGAACCCTTCCCCAATCCATCTGACCGATCCATTCCTGGGAGGATCCTGTGTCCAAACCTGAGCTCAGAGACAGGGATGGTGGGGAGTCCTTTTGGTAGGTTCCAGGGGGTGCAACTGGCTGGGCGTTCTAGAAGAAATGCTGGGATGTTTCCCATCTTTTACACCAGCGCCCCCAATGCACATCCAGCTTGCAACACACACACACACACACACACACACACACACACACACACACACACACACACACATGTCGGAGCCTTCCCTTACCCTGGTTGAGGGGTAGAGTACAGAGTTCAGTCCCAGGGAAGGGGAGTGAGGCCAAGCAGGAAGGAGTTAACAGAGACCCAGCCAAATCCTGGAAGGGAGGAAGTGGGGGAGGAAGTCCACCCCCCCCAGCCAGGAATTCCTGAAACAGGAGGGTGGGGTAGGTGTGACCTCAGAAGCCATGGGTGACTACAAAGGGGTCATGGTATCACTCAGGGTCCATTTGCCTGGGAGTGCAATCCCACGGGTCCCTACCCCAATCCTACAACCTGGAGGGAAAAAGTTCCTCGATGTCTTAAGATTTAGGGAGAGACGACAGACAGACAAGGGCTGAAGGCGCCACAGGAGCGGGAGAGTAAGAGAGAGAGGGCCAGAGGGCAGGAGAACTAGAGAGCCCTGCGGGGGGCCGGGGTCCATAGACAGGCTGAGGTGGATAAAGAGTTGGGGACGTCCAAGAGAAGGCGGGGGTCCCACACTGACTGGGGAGTGAAGGCCAGGGTTGAGGCAGAAGGTACCCAGAGGCAGGCAGAGAGAGCAGATGGAGAGATCCTAAAGAAGTAGAGCCCCTGGGTTGTTGCTGAAGAACACCCATAACCTCAACATTTAGTGCGCTGAGGCAGGAGGATGGCCGGTTCAAGGAAAACCTGAGCTGTGTAGCCAGGGGTTATCTCACAACTGCCAGAGAGTGGAGGAGTCGGGTGTGGTGACCCACACATATAATCCCAGGATATACTCTGGGAAGCCGAGGCAGGAGGATTGCAGTGAGTTTGAGGCCAATGTGGGCAAGAGAGTGATCTCAAAGCTAGATTTGTTGTTTGGTGAGATCTTCGTGTGTGTGTGTGTGTGTGTGTGTGTGTGTGTGTGAGAGAGAGAGAGAGAGAGAGAGAGAGAGAGAGAGAGAGAGAGAGAGAGAGAGAGAGAGAGAGAGAGAGAGATGCCCAGGGACAGGGGATGTTAGGGACCCCAGGAGATGGAGAAAAGATAGGAGCCGAATGCCGAATGGCCGGGAGAGGACGGTGCGGGGAGACTGAAGCATCTGAGCAGCCACCCAGAAGTCTTGGACCTGCGAAGGGGGAGAACGGGAATGGAGGAGCAGCACCCACCTGTGCGGCGGCTGGGCTGGGCGACCGGCTTCCGCGACCTGGTCCGGTCTCTGCGCTGCGCGGGACCCGGCGGGCGCCCCCGCGGGGCAGCAGACAGCGACAAGCCCTGGTCCCGGGCTGGAGTCGGGAGCCCAGGCCCCGCCCCAGCCAGGCCCGCCCCCGTTAACCCCTCCTCTGCCGTTCCCCTGCACCCCACTCCCCCCAGTAAGAAACTCAAGCCCGGAAATCTCACCTGCTGCTTCAGAGTGGTGTCCCATAGTTACCCTCTCTCCAACTCCACACTTCCAATCTAAGCCCGCATCAGGGAAGGGACACTTGGCGTGGGACCCTCCTTCCTGTCATTCTCTTTTTTGGAGAGTCTCCTCCCAGCCAGCCTCAGTTAATAACCTTCTCCGTGTCACCCTAGGGGGTCTGTTAAGGGGCCAGTGAGATGTCTCAGCAGAGAGAGGCGATTGCAGCTAACTCTGAACTCCGTTCCCGGGACCCACATGACGGAAGGAGAGAATGACTCCTGTAAGTTGTCCTCTGACCTCCACGCTGCCCGGTGTCACGCCGCCTCAGATAAATAAATGTAAAAATAAAAAATTTAAATATCGGTCGGTTAAGCGTCCACCTCAGATATAAGGCTACAAACGGAAGGAAGGAGCCTCGGGGGCGGGGGTGTCAGATCTTAGGCTCCGTTTCCTCCGCAGGCAAAGTGGTTAGGCACGATCCTTTTCTGGTCTGCATGTCACACCACGGAGAATATAACATCAAATCTGTACGAAGGTGTCATTCTGGGCTAGCGGTGCATGCCTGTAATCCCCCAGCCCTTGAGGATGCTGCGGCAGGAGGATGGCGGAGAGTTTGAGGCCAGAGCAGGCTAAATAGTGAGATTCTATGTTTCCAATGTCCCTACTGGGCTGTCCAGGGCACTCCAGCATGCCCTGCAGAAACCTGATGTCCCTCCCCATAGACCACCTATCAGCCTGACTGGTAGGAGGAGGGCTGTTCCTGTGTTGGGGTGGATTGCTGTCCTGTGTCTGTTGCCTGGAAGTGATGGTTGTTTTCAGGGAGTGTGTAAGTGTTCCAAAGAGCTGCATCACACCTACCACCTTTCATCATGGTCATTATTTCCCACACACATCAGTCCTGAGAGTTCATTATAAAAGCAAGAAGGTCCACCTGCCTACGGCCCGGCAAAACACCCAGCAGTAAGGGCTTACCAACTCTAATTTACACAGTTATTTTATCTTCAGTGGTGCAGAAGATGGGACCAACAGCTTTACTCATGCTAGACAAGAGCTCTGTCACTGAGTCACACCCCAGCCCCTCACTGGGGGATTCTAGGCAGGGGCTCTACCACTGAGCCACACCCCCAGCCCCTCACTGGGGGATTCTAGGCAGGGGCTCTACCACTGAGCCACACCCCCCAGCCCCTCACTGGGGGATTCTAGGCAGGGGCTCTACCACTGAGCCATACCCCAGCCCCTCACTGGGGGATTCTAGGCAGGGGCTCTACCACTGAGCTACACCCCAGTCCCTCACTGGGGGATTCTAGGCAGGGGCTCTACCACTGAGCCACACCCCAGCCCCTAACTGGGGGATTCTAGGCAGGAGCTCTATCATTAAGTGTTTGTTTGTTTGGTTTGTTTATTGTTTGAGACAAGATTTCATTATGTAACCCTGGCTGCCCTGAGACTCAGAGAGATTTACCTTATTCTGACTCCATGGTGCTTGGATCAAAGCTGTGTGCCAAAATACCCAATTCAATCTTATTTTGTGTGTATATGATGTGTGTGCCCTTGTGTGAACATATGCACATGTGTCTGTGAGGATGTGTGTGTGTACATATAAGCCATTTTAGTTAGTTCCTTAGGAGTCATCTTGGATATTTGTTTTGTTTTTTTGAGACAGTGTTTCTTGGGCGGTAGTGGCGCACGCCTTTTATCCCAGCACTCGGAAGGCAGAGGCAGGCTGATCTCTGTGAGTTCGAGGCCAGCCTGGTCTACAGAGCGGGATCCAGGAAAGGTGCAAAGCTACACAGAGAAACCCTGTGGGGGAAGAAATCTATGAGACAATGTTTCTCTATGTAGCCCTGGCTGTCCTGGAACTCACTCTGTAGACCAGGCTGGCCTCAAAATCACAGAGATCCGCCTGCCTCTGCCTCCCAAGTGCTGGGATTGAAGATGTGCGCCACCACTGCCTGGCTGCTTTTTTCTTCTTTTTAAAAAATGTATATGGGTGTTCTGTCCTGTCTGTGCACTGTGTATCTGCAGTGCCTGTAGAAGCCAGAAGAGGGCGTTGGGTCTCTTGGAACTAGAGTCATAGATGGCTGTGAGCCGCCATACCTAGGTGCTGGGAATGGAGCCCCCGGTCCTCTGGAAGAGCAGCCAGTGCTCTTAACCACTGAGCCATGTCTCCAGCCCCATACCCACGTCCTCAGGCTTGCCCAGCAAGGACTTGACTGACAGCCATCTCCTCAGGACCCCGTTCTTTCCTTTATCGCCACAGATGGGTTTCGCCCATTCTACAACTTCAAATCGAACAACTTAAAATAAAAAAGGGGGAATGTTGTAGCGGTGCTGTGTGGCCGTGGGCAGGTGACCTCACTTCTCTGAACCATATCACTCCCTTCTTTCAGGGAACTTGATGGACGTAGAAAGTGAGAGGGTTAATCACAAAGCCGAGATGCTCGCTCACAGTACTGGAGAATTAAAAGGGCAGGCCCAAGGCAAGCGTCATGGTAACTCCATATAAATCCTGAGAGATGAGACGTGGTTTTACACAGCCCGGGCCGGCCTTGAACTTCATGTGCAGTTGAAGATGACCTTGAAATCCTGATCCTCCTGCCTCCCCACCCCGGAGTATTTGGATTATAAGTGGGAGCCGCCATTGCTTCTAAAGAGCAATTCAGAGTGCCCAGTGGTGGGGGTAGGGCCCCTTCTCTTCTGGCGCACCCGAAGTTTGCCACAAGTCAGCCCAACTCGTGGCAGGCAAAACACAACCCCTCTCTGAGCTTCGCTGGGAACATCTACAGAAGAACAGTTTTCAGAAAGACAGCTAGAAAATGGAGAGGACCTGTGGCTGGCTGGGAGTAGGAGACCGGCGCCGCACCAGCCTCTGGGGTGCAAACGCAGCCCGCGGAATGGATGGGAACTTCCTCTCCCCCTACTCTTGGACTGGGGGGGATTGATAGAGGGCCGCGCACAAGGCAGTTTCTCACGACCCAGCTCAGGGGGACAAACGCCCAGAGTGACCCCGAAGGGATGCGTGGAGAATCACCAGCAATTTTCCATCTTTGCAGGGCCTATTTTTCCATGCAGAGCCAAAGATGACCACCAGGGGGCGGCGAAGCATCCAGCGCTCCCCCACCACCCGCTCCCCCTTGCTCCCCGCCCAAGGAAAAGTAGTCGTAGCGGGGGTCACCTTCCCAGAACTAGGAGTGTGGGAGTCAGTGGTGGGGCTGGGGGGACGGGACGGGACGACGACAGGATTTGACCCAAGAATGTCAGAAATCAAGCCCCTAAAAGACTAGAAGCTTCCGGGGCGGTGGTCGTGGCTCACACGTTTAATCCCAGCACTCGGGAGGCAGAGGTAGGAGGATCTCTGAGTTCCAGGCCAGCCTGGGGTCTGCAGAACGAGTTCCAGGACAGCCAGGGCTACACAGAGAAACACTGTCTCGAAAAATAAACAAACAAACAACAACAACCCAAAAAAGAAAAAAAGAAAGAAAAAGGAAGAAAAAGAAAAACAAAAGTTCACTGTGTTCCCCCCGCCCGCCCCCCCACAGCTACATTGGGATGGCGGCCTTCACCATCCAGCTCTTCACATGGGTGCTGGTGATCTGAACTTTGGGACCCGAGTGCTAAAATTCCTTCCTGGGAGAAGACATAAGCGAGGCCCCCAGACACACCCCAGACACACCGAGGCACAGTCCACCCAAGTCCACATTGGGAACCAGTGAGTTTTTGGGGTGTCCCTACGGAGCACAGTTGATGTGGGTGCTCCACAGGCTACACCAGAAGGTCTTTACCCTGTAGGGTGAGGGCTCTCGGGTGGATGCATAATGGAGGCCCTCCCTCTCTAGTCCCTCCCTGAGGCCACAGCGTTGCTTACACCAGCAGGTAGGGAACGGCTGGGTACTCCCTTCCCGTCCCTGTGTGAAGGGATTTAAACAGTCTAGAAAGCCCAGCTGGGATGACCTTCTGCATCGGACTCAAGTGAACTCCCCAAGACAGCAGCTGCTGGGCTCAGAGGGTCGTCACGACCCTCGGGGAGGACGTTCCAGGCTGAGCCATTCCCCCAGGCCTTTGGAGGAGTTTGAACTTCATAGACACACTCAACTATTCAAACACTCTCAGTCTGTCATTCAGCGTCCAGTGCCCAAGTTCCTGCTTCTGTATCTGCGCTGGGCTCGGAGACAGCTGAACAAGTGTTCAGCAGTCCTGGCCCTTCCCATCCAGGGTTCCAAGTCAGTGAAAGAGACACACATCTGTCCCCAGAGTCGTCAAGGACCGTGACAGGGGCCAGCAGGGGGCTGGAGCCCCAAGAAGGCTTTATTTGAGTTTATTGGGAGGAGAAAACACATGCATGAGCTTCCACTGGGATGGTTCCTTCTTTATCTTCCCACATTAAGGTCTGTCTGTTGCCCCTTACAGGGGGTCCTCCATGATGTCACCTTTGTCACTCCCTAGTCTTGTAGAGTCAGCGTCTTCTGAGGCAGGTATGTCTTCCCACTCAGGTATTCCTTCCCATGAGGTAGCACTGAGGCTGTCTTGGCTTATCATTGTACCCCAAACCATGCACACACATACACATATATACACTCATGCACATACACACACACACACACACACACACACACACACACACACACACACAAATGCTGCTTATGGAATTCATTTACTCATTTGACTAGTGTTAGAAGCATTTTATTCTCGACCAGCTTTTGACTGGGGGATGCTCTCAGACTAGTTGGGTATCTTCCTCTCCTGCTCCTCTGTGTGTGTGTGTGTGTGTGTGTGTGTGTGTGTGTTACGAGATGCAAGGAGGTTAGAGGACAACACTGTGGACTCGTTCAATCCTTCTGCCTTTATGTTGGTTCTGGGGGTGGAACTCAGGCTACCAGGCTTGTACTGTA